GGGAAGGGAAGCTGTTTATTTTATGTGCAGAAACCAACACAAAAAATAAAAATAAAAGAAAGTGAAAACACAGGGGAATATGTTCCAAACAAACAATAAGATAAATATTTACAAGCCAATCTTAATGAAATGGAGATATATCTTTTGCCCTATAAAGAGTTCAAAATAATAATCATAAAAATATACAACAAGGTTGGGAAAGCAATGCATGAGCAGTGATAATTCAACCCAGAAATATAAAATATTTAAAAGCCACCAAACAGAAATCACAGAGCTGAAGAATATATTAACTGAACTGAAAAAATTCAGTTCAGGGGTTTAATGGAAGAGTAGATGAAGCAGAAGAAAGGATTGGAGAACTCAAAAACAGGGCAATGGAATTCATCCAATCAGAGGATCAAAAAGGAAAAGAATGAAAAAGAATGAAGACAGTTTAAGAGACTCCCAGTACTCTATCAAACACACCAATAGACACACAAGATCTTCCATGATAACTCCTAGCTATGAGATAGAGCAGGGACTAGATTCCAGTCCCCTTAATCATGACTACAAAATCCAGCATTCTTTCGCTGCCTCCATAAGGAAAAGAAAAGGCTAAAACGCTATACCTCTTGAGTAGCGTATTCTGCGGGAATGCATAGGGAGGATGCTTACTGAAAGGGGGATGCTTCCTACAAAGACGGGTGAAGATAAGACCATTACAGTCTTCTCCAAGATGGACTTCAGACCTGAACTTTCACCAGCTTTTTTCCTAATTGTGATATTAAAAATCACCCCCAGGTGTGGTACCATGTTAATTAAACATGTGATGCATGAAAAAGCATGACCTTTAAGTGCACCGGTGTTAATAAATCCCTGCCTCTACATGCTTATATGTCACCCTTTTCCCACCCAACACTCTCTTAAAAACTCTCCCTGATCAGTGAGTCAGCCTGAGGATTCTTTCCTTTGTGCTGCTTCACTTGTACTGAAGCACAAGCCTCAATATAAAGTCCTGCCTGAAACTCCTGTTTGGCCTCTTGTCGATTTTTATTGCTTAGAAAGCCCCAAGGTTGGCCTGGTTTGGTAACAGCTAGATATTCACCATTATATAGTATGATGATATGATATAATTATAATATTAAATTATGTATTAATTTATGTATTAAATTATGTGTAGATCCTTAAATGAGTCCTTTTTTCCTTTTATTTTCTTTTTTCTTTTCTTAATAATGTTTTCTGTCCCTGAATGTCTTTCATGCCCCCTTCATCTAGAGGTATATTTCTAGACTCATTTCACATTGTTAGCATTTCTGGAGAGCCTCTTGTTTCACAAGAATAGTATTGTAGAAAGTACTGAAGAGCTTATGCTTCTAAAGAAGAAACCTTTTTCTTGGAATTAATTATTTGAAAACTCTACTTTCTCAAATGCCCACATCACGGAGTCAATAACTCAGTAACTGTCTTTGTAAACTGTGTCTTTAATCTGATTATATTTACGTCCTCTATTTTTGCTATCTCTTCCCTCATATGCTTCAGAATTAGTGGAGAGGTAGTAAAGAAATTATCAGAAGCTAGATATTAGGAAATACTTCCTTACCCTAGCAGGTGAAGAGATGGTTCAGCACCAAGGACAGGGGCACTCATGACCATCCAGGCTTACTCACCTGCTCTCTCCTCCCCATTAATATTTTAGTCATGTCATGACTGTGTTCCTTAAGAGTTCCTCCAAATTGCCAAATTTATCTCTATCTTAGTTGTCACCTTATATTAAAATTACTTGTTAATATTTCTTCTCCACTACACTTAAGTGTACTCTTCTTAGCCTCAGCACAATTCCTGGGGCATATAGACTTAGTAAATTGTAGATGAATTAATAAAAGTAAATCAACAAATGGCTTTCAGAAAAGAGTAAAATTCAAGGACATACTTAGATAAAACAAGTATGCAAGGAAGCAAAAGTCATATATTTGTCATTACTCCTTCAGACATCAGTTCTCAATTGTCGCTGTGCATCAAAATAATCTGTAGAGATTATCAAAAATACAAAAATCCAAGATGCTACTCCAGAAATGTAGAATAAGAATCCTGAAAGCTGGTATTTGTCATGTGTATTGAGAACAGGTAATTTCCAAGTGCATGAAGTAATTCTTCTACAGATACCTCTAAGTGCCGCTATATCCCTTGAGGGGGAGTTATCTTCTGGAAAGGGTAGGAAGCTCCAGCTGTTGTCATTTATTTGAGCAGCAGGGCCCAATCTTTTCAGTGAGGTGTAACAGAAAACAGCAGAAATTGTGTCTTTATGCTGACATCTGCTGGTCTCCCACTTATGGTGTAATAATGCAGATAAAGTTATTCTTTCAGATTCTCTCTTTCCCATCTGCAACCTATAAACAAACAGTCCTAAGAACAATTTCACTTCCCAGGTGGTGCCAGTAGCACAAAACAAATCCACTCTGCTTCAACTAGGGAAGCAAAGAAATGCCAACAGCACCATGAACATGAGAGAAAATCTGTTTCAACTTTTGATTTTCTTCCTTTTAATGAACTTCACCTTTCAGATTATCTTTGTAGAACTAGCTGCAAAAATTTTCCCAAAATATAAATGTGAAACATGTTTCATTAAAACTGAAAGCTCCTACATTTATAAGTAACTTGAACTGCCAAGCACATTTATATCATCTCAATTAAGGCTATTTAATATTTTTTCTCTTTTTGTCTAGAAAGAGGTTATTTAAAATTTTTTAAAATTTTTAATGTTTATTTATTTTGGAGAAAGAGAGCATGTGTGAGCAGGGGAAGGGCAGAGAGAGGGAGACAGAGGGTCTGAAGTGGGCTCTGTGCTAACAGCAAAAAGCCCAATGCGGGGCTCAAACTCATGAACTGCGAGACGGTTACCTGAGTCCAAGTCAGATGCTTAACCAAGCATCTGGGTGAGTCACCCAGGCACCCCTAAATTTTAAATACCCATGTAGAGAGCTTTATGCCAGATTTTCCAAAGATCTGGCAACATTTATTAAATGAACTTAATTATTCAATTCAGGAAAATTACTTCTGGGTCTTTCATTAAATCCACAGTTATAGCATTTGACCCAGTCCTGCACTCAAGGTGCTTATACTCTAGTTAAAGGATTAGGGTTGTTCTCAAATGGTGTGAATGAAGAATCTGGCCATTTTATAATGGAGACTGCTGTCTTTTATAACATAACTCTCCCAATCAAAAAACAAGTTACATAACAAAACTACAAGGCAACTTAATATTTTATTGCTTTATTAGCTATGATGTTGTCCACAACTTGTGTTTAGTATTTATGAATCTCTTATTAATATGGCAATGAGAATTGTTCCATTGCAAGAAAATATTCAAACTCTAAAAATTATAATCAATTTAAAAAGATAAACTTCATGTATTTTAAGCCATTCAGGAAAATATAAAAATTGCTTAAAAATAGCATATCTCTTTCAGTTAATATGAAATGAATATGGTTTCATTCTTTAAAAGTAAAAATAAAATTTCTACATTCCTGGTCCTTTTGGAAGGTTTAACCTCCAAAGTATAACAAAAATGTTGTTAGTTACGATACTTCTGTTGCTCAAGGAAGGGAATGGTGTCTTCAAATACAACTGGAATAAATATTTAGAGTAATATTAACACAGTACATGCCATATGGCTTCCTATTCCTTGTTTGTCAAAGTAGAAGTGATAAAAGAAAGACAGTGCTAAAGATACAGTGAAAATGAGGAAACTATTACAAATCATCTACAGATAAACATAAGCCCTCTATCTAGGCAATCTTGGGTGTGAATTATCACACAGAAGTTATTTAAAAAATTTTTAACGTTGGGGCACCTGGGTGGCTTAGTCCGTTAAGCATCCGACTTCGGCTCAGGTCATGATCTCACAGTCCATGGGTTCGAGCCCCACATCGGGCTCTGTGCTGACAGCTCAGGGCCTGGAGCTTGTTTCAGATTCTGTGTCTCCCTCTCTCTGCCCCTCCCCAGCTTGTGCTCTGTTTCTCTCTGTCTCAAAAATAAATAAATGTTAAAAAAATAAAAATAAATTTTTTAATGTTTATTCATTTTTAAGAGACAGAGATAGATAGAGTGAGAGTGGGAGGGGCAGAGAGAGAGGGAGGCACAGGATCTGAAGCAGACTCCAGGCAGGCTCTGAGCTGTCAACACAGAACCCGATGTGGGACTTGAACCCACGAACCTCGAGATCATGACCTGAGCCAAAGTCAGACTCAACCAACTAAGCCACCTAGGACCCCCCCAGCTCCCAGAAAGAAGTTATTTAAAGCATGATCCAGAATTGTGTCCATATTGATTTCTGTCTTGAGAGTTTAAAACGTAAAGCACTACAATGGTAATGCATGTAAGAAATAGTGTTCTCTTGTGTTAAGAAAGAAGTCTATATTTATCAAAAATCCAAAATTCTTAGTAATTTAATTCAAAATATTACCTTCATTCCATCTACAGTCCTTTTATCTTCAGACTGGTAATATATTTTTCCCAACCAGCTGTTTTTTGTACCTGGACTTGAGGCCATGTTCATACTCAGACCTGTAGTTTTCACCTTAACAAATTGATACCTTGTCCTTTTAACACATCTAAGTCAGATATAGGTAAGTTCTGCTACAGAGTTCTGCTAGGTCTCTGCTCTCAGAGAGCATCTCTCTCTGGGAAAGAGAGAGGTTGTTGCAATTTTTTCCTTTTTTTCTAATGTTTATTTATTTTTGAGAGAGAGAGAGAGAAATGGGAAGGGGCAGAGAGAGAGGAAGACACAGAATCTGAAACAGGCTCCAGGCTCTGAGCTGTCAGCACAGAGCCTAACGTGAGGCTAGAACTCATGGATCATGATCTTAGGGATCACGACCTAAGCCGAAGTCGGATGCTCAACTGACTGATCCACCCAGGCGCCCCTGTTGGAATCCTTTCTTAAAGACTCTCTTGAAGTACTATTGTCTTGTACAACAAACAATAAACTGGGAGTCAGGAAAAACATGTTCTGAGTAACTTACCTATCTTATTTGGGCTTTAGACATCTTTAGTAGCTCCCTGTTAAAAAAAAAATGGGGCTTTTTAAAAATTTAACATAGCAAAATGGCTACATTGTTGTCCAAAGTGTTGAGATTTCTACCAGCAATCAATTTATTGTCTCTCAGTTCCAAATCCTCCCTTTTTCTTACTTAAAAATAATTGTAACATTTTACTGAGATATAATTCATACACCATACAATTCACCCACTTATAATATACAATTCAATGATTTTGAGAATATTCACAGAGTTGTGTGATCATCACCATGATCCGTTTTCGAACATTTTCATTTTCTTTTTGAATTAGTCATATGAACACCACTCTAAAATAGAATCAATTACTTTCACAATCTTATGTGTGTTAAACTCTCATTGCAGTGCTATCTAAATCCACCTTTGCAAATTTAACACAGTACTAGAATCTCAAAATCTCTAGTAAACAATTACAAAAACTATAAAAAGAAATTCTAAAACTGCTGAATTGCTATCATCGCAATGAAAGAATTTGTAACTTTATATGACACTTTAAATGCTTCAAATTTTAATTAACTATCATTTGAAATATATGAACAAACTTATCCAACTCAGCCTAAGATAAAGATGGAATGGGATGCTTCATGAATTTGCAATATTTATATATCCCTTCAATGACAACTTCCTATCATATTTAACCATAAGTTAAACCTTTCTCTGACCAAGGTGATTTTAATGAAAACCAAGTTTACAGAGAGCCTGCTTTGGCAGGCATGGTCAAAAACTGGAATGGAACTTAATTATTTCTTCTCTAATTTATTTTTATCTTGGCACTTCCTTAAAGCTATCCTGTATTATGTCAGAAGTCTACATTCATGCCCAGTAGCCAGCATTTACTCTGGCATCTGCTGACTTCATGCTTTTATGAAGTTCATTTAATACTTCCTACCTACCAGATAACTATTGGTAAATCCTGATGTGATTTATTCAGGCTTCAGATTTTCCTGTAGAAATACAGCTTGACCTAAGTTACTTTGTACTATCATTTAAGTTGTACATAGCTACAGCTCTCAAGATGGCTACTTGAAAATATTTCTTTGAAAAGTTTCTCTTGAAATTCAATAGGCAGGGGCTTCAGTGTTGGGCTTATTTAAATAGAGCAGTCTTATGGCTATCCTGCCCAGTTAATAGAAACAAGGCTAAACAACCAGAATCTTGAAGTTGGGGAATCCCAATGTAGTACCATCTTTGGTTCCATTACATCCCTGGACATGTAATACCCTCTTTTAAGAAACAGTGGTGCAAGAAAAAGGCACAAAGTTTGAGATAGCCAAACAGGGTTCAAATAATGCCTCTGCCTGGACAAGGCTCATGAACTTGGTAAGTCATTTACTTCTCCACACCACCATAAAGAGAGTAAAATACCACTTATCTAACACAGTTACCATAAAGATTAATATATGTATATAGTTAATGTATATATGTATGTAATTAATTATGTAATATATGTATATAATTAATGTATATAATATATATACCATGTTCTAGCACATGATAATTGTTCAACAATGGTTATTAGGAGTGTGATGGGAATAAATGATATATGTGTGTTTTTAATTAGCTTACACACAATGAAAGAATGGTATTGATATTACTCCATTAGGTGTAAATGGCTAAAAAAAGAATGAAAGCAACTTCACATTAATCTGTGGTATGTCTATGCCTCTTATTCAAATATCAATTACAACAGTATCTTATAAATTAATTCTCCCAAGTATATGTGGAAGCTCCATCCAGTTGTCATAAAGTAAAGGGTAATTTACCTTTTCTGTGTGAAACTTTGGATTACCAGTTGTTATGAACTAAATGTCTGTGTCCCTCTCAAAATTCATATGTTGAAGTCCTAATCCCTAGAGAGGTTATATTTATATATATTAAGATTAAATGAGGTCATAAGCGTGGGATCTGATCCAATAGGATTAATATCCTTATAGAGACCTGAGAGCCCTCTCTCCAACCAATGACCCCTACACCCATACCATTCCCTCTGTGTCCACCAAAGAAAAAAAGAAAGAAAAAAAAAGGCCATGTGAGTACATAGCAAGAAGCCCAGGGAGTTAGCTCTGACCAGAAACCAAATCATCTGAGACCTTGATTAGACTTCCAGCCTCAAGAACTGTGAGGAAACAAATTTCTGTTGTTTAAGCCATCCAATCTATGATATTTTATTATGGCAACCCTAGCTAAGACATCAAAGTGTAATTGAAAGAATCATAAATCCCAGAAAAAAAATTATTTCTTCCTTAAGTAACTTTAATTCTTTTTTTTTTAATGTTTTATTTATTTCTAGGAGAGAGAGAGAGAGAGAGAGAGTGAGCAGGGGAGGGTCAGAGAGAGAGGGAGTCACAGACTGAAACAGGCTCCAGGCTCTGAGCTGGCAGTCAGCACAGAGCCCGACTCGGGGCTCGAACCCACGAACCGTGAGATCATGACCTAAGCGAAAGTCGGACGCTTAACCGACTAAGCCACCCAGGCGCCCCGTAAGTACCTTTAATTCTTATGTGTAGCAGTTGAGCTAATTTTTAAAGTTATAATATGCATAAATCAGCATCCCGATGTTTGAACAAAATTTACATATAATAAACTATAATTTATACCCCTAATATGGGATTTATGATATATGGATATATATCCCAGTACTAAAAGCTAGGAATTCTGAAATATATTCAATCAGAAATCTAGCTTTGATAAAAAGCTAGCTTTTAATAGAAAACTAGCTCTTACAAGATTAATTATATGATTAGGAAACATTGCATTAACAACAGTAAAAAATATTTAAGTGGCACGCACACTGCCACTTAATATGGCTGAAAACCAGCCACACACAGAGCCAAGAGCATCATCTGCAGCAGGCTTGAGAACCACAGTCTCATAGATCAGAGACTTTTACTTCTCACCAGCCCTTCAGCTTCATCTCAAAGCTTGATTTCACAACCACACCACGGACACAGGCTCCCTCTTATATGTCCAAGTTATTAAGCCCAATGGCACTGAATAGTGTTGAGGTATTGGTTATTCATAGCTGAAACAAAGAAGAACTTTTATCTTGGCTTTGGTACTGAACATTTCAGTCTGTCAGATAAAGCTCCTTTGATTATCCTCTAGACATGAAGTCTGCCTTTCTTTGCTCATTAGCTGGGTTAGAGGCTAGAACAAAGGCACTTTGCTGATCTCCCAAGTATTAATGGAATAGTCAACAAATCTGTAGGTGCCAACAGAAATGCTCCCAAATAGCTGCAAAAGACACCAGTAGTAAAGTCACCATCGTTCAATCCGATCCTATACATGGCTAAGTTGGATACTGCATTTTCTCCATTGGCCTTTTATAATTTTTAAAAAGAAGTCGTGCAATTTTATAGAGCAGAGACAATGAAAAAAAGCACAGCGATTATAACCATCTTTACACATTGTATGCTTACAACTGATTTTCGGGGGGTACTAATGCAAAGGAAACAAAGCAAACAAAGCAAAGTAACAAAAGGCAAGAATTCTTGAGGGTTCTAAAAATAAGGAAGTAATTAAAGTATGCTTGATGAAAGCCCCTAAAAGGCAAAAAAAGAGCAAGAGTATAAATAAATGTGATTAATAAATAAATAAAAGTCAGCATAACTAATAGGATTGATAGTTTCAGCATTTATACATTGAATATCATCATTTAATCCAACTTTAAATCATAAAAGCCTTATTGTTGTTACCATAGTTAATATGATGTGTAAGAAGCACCAAACACATTGTTTTAAGTGTTCTTAAGCTTTGTGTAAACCAATATGGGTATGTATTCACTTAACCTAAAGTTAGATCTACAAAATTTCCATAGCATTAATTTAGTAACATGCTTTGTTGTCCAAATAAGTATTAAGTCCTGAATTTACTATAATAAATACTTAAAATTTGAGTTTATATTTAACCCAACTCTAACCCCAACCCACAAGAAATAAAACTTATAAATAAGACTGAAATCTGTGTATATTTAAAAAGACAGATTGGGTCATCTTTTTATGGAATGCAGTCAGCTCACGATGACTCAAATATATTTCAAAAATACAGTTCTTTTAAATGTTGATATCACAATATGTAAACATTAGATAGTGTTCCCCAAGGACAATCCAAAAGCTGTCAATTCGGTTTCTTTATTCCCCAAGGAAGTTAGGAGGCAATCCATAAAAGAAATATGCTGGTGCCATGTTACTGAGCCATCCAATTGATCCTTCTATTTGCACTTCTGGAGAAACAGAGATCATAGTGTCATTATGAACCTCAAAAGAAGACCACAGACTTACAGTAGCCCACAGACTTCCTTCAGTCATCTGACCACCATGTCGCTGACCATTTGAGGCTGGTTGCATCTCATCATGAGGCAACTGACTTGAAGTAACTTTAATTATACTACATGAATGGAACAGCTTTAGATTAATGGCAACATTAGCAATGCCCTTTGGCAGGAAATCTAAAACACTTCTGAACAAACTCTCTGGAAGAAACCAGCTGTATCTACTTCTCATTGGATTTAAGTAGGTTTGTGCCTTACAGCCCCAGTAAGCAATCCTGTCTTGGAAATAGTGGCTGAAAGAGCAATAGGAATTGCTGATGGGATCCAGATGAAGCTAAAGATACTGTCATCAGAGCCATCTCCAAAAATACCATACATGGCACTGATCAGGTGAGAGAATCTCAAGGATCATCAGAGCTCCAGCCTGTACCTTGGTGATCCAGAGATTGAATGATGTATATGGGTAACTTACAGCAGATTTGCATATATTCATCAGTCCCACATGGATACCCTTCTTGCTGATATAAGAGATCAAGGACAACCCTTCATAGACATCAGTAGGACCCATGGAATACAAGGCCTGGTGGAAAACAAACGATGGTTCCAGATTTGGTGAACCAGCCAACCTTCCCATCATGTGATAAGCTGATTATAGGTGGGTCAGAGTTCATTTTAAAAATAGGGCAATAGATGAGGTGCCTGGCTGGCTCAGGCCA